AATTTTCATTAATTTGTTTAGAACTTGTTTAGAGTACTTGGTATATGTTATTACATGTATTTTATGCACTACACACATTATACTCCTGTAAGTGGGTTTTCATCGCGTCTTTGAGATTTTGGATGACGGTCATCTGTGGGTTAATTGACTTTAAATATGAAATTACCTTTAAACTAGTTGACCTAAACCCTTGTATATTTCCCTTAAAAAAGGATTACTAATGAATTTTAAAGAAAAAATTTTAAATTACATAAAATGTTGTAAGACATATTATACTTTTCTTCGTAATCTATATGACTTGAGTAATTAAACATGTAGGGTATCTTAATACCTAGTGACATATAAGTCACCTGAATTTGGAGTTATCGACATAAAGCTCGTTACATGGATCATGTAGAAAGCTTAATGGAGAAGAGTCTGCACATAAAACTTGAAAACTAAAAGAAAAATATACATATATATATGTTCTCACAGATAAGGGGGAAAGAAAAAATTTATACAATTAATTATGAGCTCTTTAATTTATAAAGGTTCTAGTGATACTGAGTTTGACTTCATATTTTGAAGAATATATTCACTCACCAGTGATTCTTTGCACGTCATTTCTCATTAATTTAAGATTTTGAGATTTGCTTACATGAGTTTAATGACACTTTTCACACGTGAATGACTTATATAATTTACTCCATATAGATTTCAAATAAGTTATGTAAAAAAAGTTTACATTTATGAATTATACATGTATAAGTAAGCAAATAATTGTTCGTGACAATACATTTAAATATTCATGAAAAATAAAAACAATTGTCTCGAAATTGAAAAAAAATTATTCTCCTATCACATGCTTTTACATCATTTTTGCATCATTATACATGTGAATATATTTTTTTACTCATTCCTCTCCGTGTTTAACATGATTATTACTTGTCTTTCCTTTGTTATTCGTGACAAAAAGGAGAGATGTGTATTTATTTCAGGGAGTTGATTATATGAGTTAGGGGGAGAATTTTTTTTTTTTTTGATTGATAGATGACTTAGGGAGAGACATTTAATAGGTTTTGTCTATATTGATATAAAATTCTATAATTTACTTGTAAGTAGAATTCACACGATATTGCATGTTTCAATGGTACGCATTTTTATTATGTTTTTATTTAACTTAGTTATATGATTTTGATTTTATTAGTTTCCTTTTTTTTTTCACGTGGTATTGTGGTTTTCATATGTTTCAGGAAATGGATTGACATATTATTAAAGAAAATTTTGAAAAGTTTATTTTTGATAGTTTAAGACTTATTGACTTTGAAATAAATATGATTTTGTCACGAAATGTCAAGGAGGAGATTGTGAAGTCCAAATTATAATTGGCGATTTCTAAATTTGTACCTTAGTCAAAATTAAGTTCTAATTGAATTGTATTAGAAATTTATCGAGTTGTAATCAAAGTCAAAATATGAGTTATAAAATCCTCATCAAAGTCAAAAGAATTGGGTTGGTAGTATAGTCCCATATGATCATTGAAATGCATTTAGAAGACCAAAGAGTGTCAAGAGCCGTACAAGTTATGCTTCAAATTCTCAATCACAATTTGCAATACATTTTTCACATAAAAAAACATTGGAATTTGGATAAGGCTATTTCTAGAATGATTGTAGCACTTTGAATATCAGAAGATAAAGTTATGATAAAAATACTGGCGATTGCTCAGCTGCTGTTTGCCTGTCGTTGGCTTGGCGCTCGAGCGCAAGGTCGACGTTCAGAATTTTGTTTTGCTTCAAACACTTGGTTTTTCAATCCATTTTCATGCCAAAACACTTTTTCTTATATATATCATACTTTATGAACGTCCAAAAGTATGTTGATTCATATTTTCCATAGAGATCATTC